AAATGAGGGAAAAGATGAGGAGGGATACAACCTTGTGAAAGTCAAATAGCAGTCCAAAGGATTTTCAGAAAAATTATGCCTAACATCCCTACTCAAAAAGAAGTTTGGTGTCACCTGCTGTACAAGCTGGTTTCCATTCATAATGCTTAGATCCGTGTTGCACTGGATACCTGCTGTAAGAATCACAAAACCACTTCTAAGAAGGTGATGAGATATTCCAAATCAGTGGTAGTAAGAACATACTGCTATGCATAATGGGCCCCAAGAGATATGAAAAGAAACCTTCTTCACAGTATACACTCTAACTCCTTCCTCCTAAAAGTATCTGGTTTATGTCTCTAAATATATTCAAGTACAATTATGGTTACGTATGCTTGAAAAACCTTTAGTTGTAGCTGCAGCAGCAGCCAGTCTTACATAACCGATTACATACACAGTACTTGTGTGAATACATACAAAGTATTTAATAACTTTAAAACCTTTCACATAATTGAGTCCTTGCAAGCAACAATTTTATAATGACATTGAGTTTCACCCCCAAGTTATTGGTATATTTCTTGTCTGAACAGAAAGCCACCATAATAGGCAACCCATAGGCTGCCACAACTGGCTTCAAATGCATTCCTTCCACTGCCAGTGCACAAAAGAGCATGGTGGTCCTGGTTAGCCCACCCTATCCTCAGCAAAGGCCTGGTATGACTGTCCATACCCCTTACACTCGTCCTCTCTAGTCCATGCCAAGCGGACTGCAGTTTACATTCACGATTAAGATACTATAAATCTCTGTGTGGAGGTGTTTATTTCAGCTAGAGTAGCAGCTGACAATTCTCTTTGGAGAGACTATCCTGCCAGGCATGACATGAAAATGAAACAGAAGGCAAGTCCTACTGCAAGTATTTTACACTGTAAGTTTCTCATAAGTCGTAATTGATCTAAACTTCTTGGCTTTTCTACCTGTGTTCCCATGGTTGTCTGAATGGATTTAGTTTGTTATTTCATGTCAGAAAATGGGAATCTTAAGATGCCCAAGACAAACTTTATAAAAATCACGTTACATTTTTCAAGATATTATTCCCATTTATGTAAGATAGCATTAAAAAAAAAAAAACAAACCCCAAACCCACCCAAAAAAGACCGTGATCATATAGAGAAGTCATTAAATTAAGCCCATGAGAGTAGACTAATAATCATCTGACTCTTTTAATAGAAGGCATTTTTCCTTTTATGATGGCAGGGATGGATAGCAGTTGCTTTTCAGTGAAAAACTAAGATTGCTTGACAAGAGACATATTCAGTAAGCAGGTCATATTTCTGTTCTTTTTTAACACTTATGTGCAAGCAGAAGTAACAGACATGACATAAATGTAAATGACATATTGTGCCAGTTGGTGTTTAAATATGCACTGTCACAATCCTGCTCCAGGGTGTACTAAAGTGGACTTTAAAGAATAATTAAAAATTACACAATAAAGCTTTGGGAGGAAATAGTCACAT